TGCTATGAGAATTGGGAGTGCTCCAAATGTTGCAGTTCAGGGACAGCCGTACGACTCATCTGCAACAGTCCTTCCTCCTCCTCGTCCTCCTGCTGCTGTACCTCCCTCTTCAGCACCTGCACTGGCTCCATCTCCTTCCCTTTCTACATCTTTCCCTTTGATGCCTACTCTTGATGCTTCCGAACCAGACGCCAGTGCTAGAAGGTCTTCAAATCTAGTGAAGCCATCATCATTCTTTGGTCCTCTTCCTTCCTCTTCTCCACTGATACCTCCTGTTTCTTCATCTGTGCCTACTGCTCCACCACTTCACCCCCCTGGGAATCTGCAACGCCCTCACAGAGCTCCTTTGCTTCAACCATTTCCTCCCCCCTCTCCTCCGCCATTTCTCACTCCAACTTCTGCTCCTAGCCCAAACAATGGACCTGTTATTAACAGAGGCAAAGTGCGTGAGGCACTTTTGATGCTTGTTCAAGTAAGTGTACCTGAATTGATAGTTACTTTCCTATGTGAACTTTTTTTATGGCACTAAAGTTTTATAAATTCGCAATCAATTGCATATGCCAGAATGTGAAAATTTTGCGTTTGCCCTCATAATGAGAACTAACATCCAAAGCAAAGAGGGTCTGCTGAGGGCGCGTATTTAGGGGAAAAAACTTCCAGCAGCTTCTGCCACTATGCTGGAACACATCCACATTATGAAGATTAATTAGGGAAATTGAGAAGAAAAAAGAAAAGAAAGAGAGAAGAATATGCTAGCAGTTGCTTTTGAGTCTTTCTGTTGGAACTGGTTTTTGGTAGCTTCTCTCCTTCCTCTAGGACCTATTTTTTTTTTATCTGAGTCACATAGTCTGGATGGATTTCCATCGGGGAACATAAAAACGTTTACACTTTTGAAATTAAGCACCTTACTTCCTCAAGGATCGAATGTGAAGCTATAAGGGATCATACCCTGGGGATTGCTAAATCACAAAAAGGTAAAAGTTTTACTCTATCTGAAGGGGCATGTCTCAAACTCCAACAATAAATGAATCGTTCTTCCCTTAAATCTCTGGATGAGATGTCTAAAAGATCCCGAAACCCTAAATTTCTTCCCCATCCATTTTGGCACCCGACGCTCTCCGCCCATGCCCAACTCCCTCTCGCTCCCCTTAATTGTCTCCAATCTGTCCTCATTTCCTCTCTTTTCCATCTTTACCTTCGCAGACCTCTCCTTCCCCTGATGAGAGTTCCACACTTAAATTTCTCTTCCTAGTGTTGTGACTGCATGAGCCACATAGGAAGAGTTCCATGCCCAGTTGTTCGTGTCCTCAAAATACTTGCTTCACTTTGGGGTTGCTGATGCTCATCATTGCCACCTTGAGTTCTGTTAGTTGAAGTTGACAGAAATCTGTCCTTTGCCTTCAAGTGCTACTGAAAGTCTTTACATCCCCTTGCTCATGTAGAATAATAGAGGGTTGTCCAATTCACTGTATAACCCTTGAATTTTGGGGCAGAAAGGGGCAGAGTTGTTGTCAGCAAAATTCTCCTCTACCCTCAGCTGCAATTTCTCTCTGACCTCAGCTTCCTTATCTGCCCCCAATAAAAATTGGTGAATTATGAGGTATTGAGCACTTTTTGGCCAATGGCATCTGCTCGATCTACATGGACTGTGATGTCTTCAGTATTATTTGATAAAAAAAGCAAAAGGAACTTCAAGAGTCATGTCGGTTATCTTAGAATTGAAGGGCTGTTTTGGAAAGGAAAATCCTATTTTTCGCATCAATGTGGCCTAGTTTTAGGACATCCAGGAAAATCCTATTTTTCGCATCAAACTGGAACAATGTGAGTAACACAAAAGCTCTAGACAGTCCCGACTACAGAGTCGGATAAAACAAAGTTTGAAGCAATATAACAGTGTAGACTATAGCTTTCTTACCACACTACATATTTCGGTAATGGTAGTTCCTTGATGTTTTTTTCTACTTTGCACCGAAACAAGAAAAACAAAAAAAAAATAAGTACCTTGTCTTATAAGTCATGCCAAGTAGTTAATTTGTTATCACCTTGTTCTTGAAAAGTCATTAGAAGTTGGCAAAAGATTATAAGTATGGCAAATAATATGACTCGAAAATACAAGTCCCGACAGTATGTTAAAAACTCTAGTAAGTATTGAGGGACTGGGTGAATAGGAACTTGCCAAGGCTATAAGGACTTCATATTTTTGCTTTCCTTTCTTGCTTTTTTTTTGGCCCAGAAAACTAGTTATGGAGTCCACAAAATTAAATATTGGGGGGAGTAAGGTAGTATCCTGAGCTCATAATTTATTAATGTAATTAGTTGATTAGCTAGAGGATTTTATGGTTACTCCTGTAATGACATTTTTCCCTATTAGGATTCATGATTTGATAATCGTATAATTCACTGGTCTCTTTATGCATCTGATGTTACCTCTATTTCCATAACAGGATGATCAATTCATTGACACGGTGTATCGCGCTATTTCCAATACTCATCATACATGATAAACAGAGGAACTGCCTCACTTGTTGAAATCCCATTAAAACAATGTTACTGGCAGAAAGATGGCTTCGAGCGTCTGACTATCGGGTTCCTTCTGTTTATAATATCTTTGAGACCCATTTTGTATAGTAGTATTAGACTATTAGTCAGTTTACTTGTTCAGATTTGTAATTTACCTTATATGCAATGTCTGGTTTTACTAGTCAGTTATGCTTGAGCTTTATGTTCATTAAATAATAAGCAATCATGCAGACTGTGTACTGGCTCTTTCAGCTTTGGTATTTGCAACAATTGTGTTGTGATAAGCCGAATGGAAAGAAATCTGGGGGTGTGATTTTATGTTTTCCAGATAGAAAGTTAACTCCTCTGAGTACTTTTTCTTTTCTTACTCGAGTGGGAGGAAAATATTGAACTTGCATTTTGGAAGTTTAAAGATAAATTGTTTTAAAATTCTCCAAAAAATATAATAATGTGGGACTAGCAATTTTTAGAGTCAGAAAGGCAAAAATCCAGTACAATGGAGAACGGACTATATCTCACAATTTTCCTGCACAATGTATTATTCTCCGAAAGAGACTGGGACGGAAGCGCGAGCTCGAACGGATGTAATTTTAACAATGAATGAAGACGTCAAATTCTTGTCTTCTTCCTAAAGAATTAGAATTTATATATTTAACATTACATAAAGAGTACTAAATATATGTATATTGTTTCAACATCAATCAAAGAGAGTTTTCGTACCAAAATCAACTCAAAATAATTAAGAAAGATAGTAGACTTGAGTTGGGATGTTGGTGATTGTGTCTATGTAAATGAGAAGGAAAGAAAGGAGAAATGCGGAAAAAAAAAAACGTCTCCAACTGAAATTCTTTATTAAGCTAAGCAAAAATTTTAACTACACCCTCTGCCAGTTATTTACGAGAATACCCGACAAGATAAGCTACTAAACAAAATGATATGAACTTGTTTAGTGATGAAAAATTATCCTGCTGATATTCTGCGTTCTCCAAAAAGATCGACATAAAACCAGCGAAACACTTGTTGGCAACTAATTAAAAGCAAGCAAAAATGAGGAAAAAGAAGCTGTTCTGCCACTTTGTATCCACAAATAATTTGCTAAGGAAACACTACGATACCACAAAGGTAAGGTCTTCTCCGGTAAATATTAACCCGCACTCGATGTTTACATCAAACATACTAATTTATCGTATCTAGGTGATAAATTAAGGTGCAAATGTATCTCAATATGTGAATACACGTCTCATGTATTCATTGGGCCGGTGCAAATATGGTACACCTTGTAGCAAGGTAGAGCGCACAATCCCCAAAATCTTTTGCCGATTTCGATCAACGTGGGGGCATCTATTAGTAAAAGGGTATAAGTGGAGAGTTTGACCGAATCAATTACAAATAAATCTCAAACTAACAAAAAAAATAAAAAGAAACCAATGTAATCCTACATGTGAGATCTGAAAACGGCAGTGTGTACCCAGACCTTGTGAAGGTAAATCTCAAACTGAGTAACATGGGATGGAAATTGGAAAATGGGTGATAAAGAAGATAGAAGCAAATATCAAAGACAAACTAGTTCTCACCAATATCCTCGTTTTGCAGTTTGAATTCGAGATGTGGCCTTTCAATACAAAATGCATACTTTCAACACGGAAGGAGCCATTTCAAAGCAAGACAATTAGCACAAGAATCTTTTTTGTCAGTGAACAAAAGATTCTCTACCAAAGCAAATTCGTCTGAACCTTTTCAGAACATAAATACATTCTGACAAAATTGATACATCAGCAAGATTAAATTTTAGAACTGCTAATTCTATGAGAAAAGCCGCCTGTGAGAATACATCCTCATCTCAGCAGAAAAAAAATGACTGCGTTACCCTATTGATTTGTCAAAGCAAAAGTGGATCTTTTCCATAGCTAAAAGTTTAAAATATGATCGTTGGACCACCGAATAGGAAGCAACTAGGTCACGACAATCTTCCTTAAGGTTACAAAAAAGAAACACCTGCTTCTTGATTTGCAAGCGCTTGATGCAGAGAAGTCCTGCTTCAGGAATTTGGCTGTATCGTCCTTTTGCTTTATGTTGACGACATCATCTTAACTGGTGACAACGGATCTCTTCTCACTCAATTTATTCACCGTCTCAGTAAATATTTTGCCATGAAGGACTTGGGTTATCTCAATGACTTCCTTGGCATTGAAGCTCAGCGTGACTCCTCTGGCCTTCTTCTGTCACAAACCAAATATGCTTTAGATTGATTCCGCCGGACCAACATGCTTGGTTGCAAACCTTGTGCTACACAAATTGCTTCCGGTTCTAAACTTTCAGCTTTGGATGGTACACCTCCCTCTGATCCTCAGGCCTATCGGAGTACTGTTGGTGCTCTCCAATATATCACTCTCACTCGACCGGACCTCCGCTATGCTGTTAATCATGCCTGCCAGTTTATGGCCAATCCCATCACTGTTCATGATCAGTGTCTTAAACGCATTTTTAAGGTATTTGAAAGGCACTCTCCATTATATTATGGTCTTAGATTTCCTCATCGCCCTATCTCAACACTTTTTTTTGTTACTCTTATGCGGGGCTGGTTGTCCAACAATTCGTCGCTCAACCACTGGATTCTGCATTTACTTTGGTGACAATCTAATTTCTTGGGGCTCTAAAAAGAAACCTAAACAGTTGCCCGCGCTAGTGCAGAAGCTGAAATCAAAAGCG